TTTTTTTTTTTTTTTTTTTTTTTTTTTGGTTGGGTCTTTTCCTAATTTTGGAATCAGGGTAATGCTTGCTTTCAGGAATGGCTTTGGGAGTTCTGCTTCCCTTTCAATTTCCTTTAAGAGTTTGTGGAGTACTGGTGTTAGATCTTCTCTAAAGTTCTTGTAGAATGTGATAATAAATTCACTGGGACCTGGGCTTTCTTAGTTGGTGTTTTAATACTCCTTCAATTTCATTACACTAATATTAGGATGTTTGTGATTTTTATATCTTCTTGGTTCAGCTTTGGTAGTTCATATGTATTTAGGAATTTATCCATTTCTTCTACATCTTCCAGTTTTGTTTTGTTTTGTTTTGTTTGTATTTTAAGAGAGGGTCTACGGGGTCTACAGGGTCTCACTATGTAGATCGGATTCATAGTGATCCGCCTGTGTTCAGCCTCCCAAGAGCTGGGATTGCAGGCAAGCACCACCAGGCCCAGTCTCAGTCGCCCTAGAGGTGGGGCCAGCACGGCTTGTGGTGCCAGGGAGTGAACCCCGGCTGCTGCATCTGCCTAAGCAGGTGCTTTAATCTGCTGAGCTATTTGGCCAGGCATCTTCCAGTTTTATTAAGGTACAGGTTCTCAAAATAGTTACCAGTGATCTCAATCTGAGCTGAATCCATTGCCTTGTTCATTTCCAACTGTATGGATTTGTGTCTTTCCTTATTTTGGTAAGATTGGCTAGAGGTTTGTGAGTTTGTACTTTCAAAGAACCAACTCTTTGATTGTTGTGGGGTTTTTTTGTGTGTGTGTGGAACCGGGGATTGAACTCAGGCCCTTACGCTTGCCAGGGAAGCGCTTATTCCACTGAGCCATCTCCCCGGCCCTCTTGGTACTGTTTAAGGCACGTTGCAAAGGCTAACTTATTTACTCTTCATAAACTTATTAGGAACAATTGTTATAATGTTTAAAATACTTATCTTAGAATATTATATTTTCATGTGAAATGTTTCTTTTGGCTCTGAATTTTAATATAGTTGGATGTTTCTTTACATTCATGAACTGTATTTCCCTCTCCCATATGGATATTTTTACCAGAAAAGTGAGTCAATTTAAAGTTCAAGGGGATTTAGAATTTTACAGAGTATTCCTAAGTTAAAACTCCAGTAAAGTCTAAAGCACAGCTCCTACAAAAACTGGAGGCGACCTTTGTATACAAAATGAGCTAGTAAATGATTTAGGCTTTGTGGACCATGTCTTTGTGACACAAGCTCTGCCCTTGTATTTGATTTGTTTGTTTGGTTGGTTGGTTGGTTGGTTTGTGGTACTGGGGATTGAACTCAGGACCTTGTACTTGCCAGGCATGCATTTATTTTACTGAGCTATCTCCCCAGCCCTGCCCTTGTATTTGAAAGCAGCTTCCAACAGTAGGTAAGCAAATAAGCATGACTAATTTCCAGTAAAACTTTATGGCCATTGGAATTGGAATGGCATATGGTTTCCATGTGTCATGCACATCTTTTGGTATTTTCTAGTCCTTTTATAATGTAAAACCTCCTCTTGGGTCAAAGGCCTTCCCACTCAAAACAGGTAGCAAGTCAGATTGGCCCAGTGGCCCTGGTTTGACCTTATCCTAGGTCATCTGTATAAAATATATAAAATAC